AATATTTTTTACTTGTGATATATTTTAGCGACATTTTTACAGCTTGAAGTAAACTTATTGCAAATACTTTAAATAAACTAGAATAGCTTTCTTTTGTTTGTTAATAAAAATATCCTTTATGAAACACTGTTATTTTATTATTTATTGCAAACCAAATTAGCATATATTTCATCACAACCGTGGTTAAAAAACAAAACAGATTTTTTATAGCTAGCATTATAAAAATAAAACAAAGCAAATGTGAGTTTGTCATCTTGATATTTCAGTTTATGAAACTATTTAGAAGTTATAACATGTAGGAAATTAAAATCATCGCCTTATAAAAGCTTGAAGTGTCCTAGGCTGAAGTGGTGTAATGTTTAGCAAGTTTGTCTCGCTAGAACTATTACGACTGAGTAGTGAGTTCGATCCTCACTGGGTACCCCATACTTTCGGCCTTGTGCCATATCCGAGCTACGCTTGGAAAATAACTATACTAGCCGAAAGGGGGAACATCGAGGTGGTGTAATGGTTAGCTTAGTTAGGTTAGCAAGTTTGTCTTGCTAGCTCAATTATGACTGAGTAGTGAGTTCGATCCTCACTGGGTGCCCCCATACTTTCGGCTTTGTGCCACATCTGAGCTACGCTTGGTAAATCACTATACTAGCCTAAAGGTTAATCCAGCCCTGTATTGACCGACATTTTGGACAAACATTCTAAGATTCTATCTCAAAAATTAATGTTTAATGAAAATATAAGCAGCAGGTGAATGCCAAAAGAAAAATGGAGAAGGCAGGTTTTTTTGTTTTTTTTTACTTATATTTGAAAAATGAAAAATTTAAAAGTAGGCAGAAAAGTTAGGATAATGGCATCTGGGGTCCCTAGGCTAATAAAATTTTGAGGTTAACCCACACTCAGATCCACCCTCTAACTCACAAACACCTGTCATAAATATTTTTTTTACTTGTGATATATTTTAGCGACATTTACATAGCTTGAAGTAAACTTGTTGCAAATACTTTAAATAAACTAGAATAGCTTTCTTTTGTTTGTTAATAAAAATATTCTTTTAGAAACACTATTATTTTATTAATTATTTTTATTTATTGCAAACCAAATTAGCACATATTTCAACAAAACCATAGTAAAAAAAAAATTTATACCCAGCATTAGAACAATAAAACAAAATAAATATGAGTTTTTTATATTGATATAATTTCAGTTTATGAAACTTTAGAAGTTATAACATCTAGAGCATTAAAATCATTGCTTTATATAAATTTGTAATATTTAAACAATCTGAACTAAAATCAAACATGTTATCTACTTGAAACACAGTGACACAAACTAAAAAATTCTTTTCCTTGCTTTGCTTCCTACAAAATCAAATAAATTGGAGTTTTACCATATTGATATTATTTCAGTTTATGAAACTATTTAGAAGTTATGACATCTAGAAATTAAAATCGTTGTTTTATAAAAGGTTGAGTAGCTCTAGACTGCAGTCTATACTAACCTAAAGGATATTCCGGCCTTGGTAAGAGAAAAACTACTGTCTTCATTGTAAGAAATGAAGTGAAAGCGATGGAAAATATACATAGAAGGAAAAGAAAGTAAAAAAAAAAAGCAAGACAAAAAGGGAAAATGGCAAAAACAAATGGAAAGTGAATACAGAAAGCAAGAGGAATGAAATACTGGGAAAGAGTGAAATATTATAAAAAGAAATTGACTTTCTTTAAATGGAAAGGAGGGACGGTAAATATGACAAACAGAAAACCCAAACCTTATACATAAGATAATAAACAAAAATATACAATTAGATATTTTACCTGAATCTCGTGACAATTGAGTTGGTCAAGATTAACGGCCATTGCTTATTTTAACAGTCGGCTATGGTTTACTGTTTATTTAAGATTCTATTTGTCTTCCAAACTTTGTGTGTTCATTATTCCTTACATATTCTTATAATATGTATGACACAGAAAATAGTATTCATATTTTTATCTGACTATCCTGGATGGTTCACCGTTTATTATGGATTGTAAAGAGTGTTCTAATAACTTAGACTGATTTTAAATGTGAATTAAGTTTAAGCGTCTAAAGATTTTTATATTTTTTCTTTCAGATTTGGCGGACATTTGGGCGATATTATTTTTCATACATAATTGCCATGACTTAAATAACATGATCCAATAGAGAAATAAATACATTTTCACCAATAACACTGATTTATTTACTGCTGACTTTGATCCGTCTTAATGAAACCCCCTTATATAAAATCCGTCTTAATGAAACACCGTTCATTTGACTTTCAAACACTTTTCATTCATTCGTTCTTTTATGTCTGTTTGTTAGGGTGCTTAGCTGATTCCTGTTGAAGACGCATGCTCAGACATATTTGTGTTTGTTCAAGCCACAGAGATCTAACCTTTCAGATCTCATGGTCGGAATACTGACGTCCTAACCACTCAGCCATGCACGTTACCTCGTTATATATTCTTATATACATTATGAACCAGAAATAAATTAATAACTTATATTCGACAAAGAAATTATTCTCTATATTCAACTAAATACAGTGAAGATTTAAGGTCGAAAATTCCAACAGTTCGCTTTAGGATATGTTGATTTTTTATTTGTTTTTTACGGTTTATCAACCTTTTGAGATAACTGCTTATTGCTATAAGAGACCAGTTACAACACTCATCTCGTTTGAGTGAGTGAAAGTGTGTGTCTCTGTGTGTGTAGAAATAGTAAGCATTTTTATTTATGTTTAGTGTTTGTCCAGCATGTTGGTTTGGGGATATTTTTAAGTAACACCGGTTGTGGTTGTAGGAGGAGGTAGATACATTTTAGATTATTTAAGTATGGATTTTATAAAAGTTGGTGATATAATATAATGTTTTTGACGTGTGTTTATAGATGGTAAAATATTTATCAGGATTCCCTCGAAGGATTTCCTGCGTAAAGAATTATGTTCTATTTTTTAAAATTAGGGTGGCATTTATAAAATCAGACATATATCAATATTTTTCCTATGTATTACGAGAAAGTTTAAAGGGTTGTCCCAGCGTAGATCTTGCTTATTTTCGTAGATGTGTGCATTTAGATTTCTAGATGTTTCGCCTATATAACAATTTCTACATTACAAGAATTTTATTTCATAAATACCGGCATCTGAAGTGATGTTGGATCTACTGTACTTCCTAATTATATCTTCGATTGTCTTGAACGTGGTAGTAAAGACCTTATTTATGTTTTAAATAGTGATGCAGGTGTCAGATTATGAATTTTGTGTTTTTCATATTAGAAGTGTTGCCGGTGGTGGTTTTTTTTTTGTTTTGTTTTTTTTTTTTTTTTTTTGGCCTTTTTGAACTTGTAGACTTTGTATGCTCGTTTTCTAGTGTTGAGGATGAAACGATGTGGGTAACGAATGAGTCTAAATGTTTTTTCAATGTATTTCTCTTCTTCATCTACATATTGGTTGACAAGACAAATACACATGAAGTCTGCTCAATAAAATTAAAAACAAACACACAAATGAAAAATACCAGAACTTCTTGTCTTCCATTCTTTTTTTCCATATCTCATTCTCTGATGAAGCTTTTATAAATGCGAAACATGTTAGATTTATAAACCTTTCTCATTTGTTTCTTATTATATATATATATATATATATATATATATATATATGAAAATTTTCTCAGAGTTAACCTGTAGAAAAAGATAGTATTTATAAAGGTAAAAGATAATAGAACTGTATTATTAGCCGACGCGATTCGTCCAATGTGGGCATTTTCAAGGCAAAAATGAAATGAATTTATTGAAAACAAAGTAACTATTAACAACGAATAAAATATCCTTAGCAACTAGAAGAGTTTAGAAAACGCTATTGTATTCATATTGTAATGACGCAATTTTCAGTTGACAATATGAATACGAGTTCGAATTCCAGTCGAATCCATTACATTCACACGTGCTCATACCCTTGGGAAAGGCATGAATCCTCTTCTTCTCCCTCCAGCTATGGGTAAATAGCAGGACAGACTGGGTTATTTAACATTGGATCGCAACTGGTCTAGGAGAAGGATAACTCTGAATTCAAAACCTGCGGAGGGTCTCTTTATTCAGCCCTTCAAAAAGTGTGGCTGATTTTGCACAAAACCTTCACCACTATAATCAAATCTCATGTTCTGGTGTCGGGCTTTCGGTTCCAAGGAACTGATCTGCTTGACATTCATACGTCGAATTCGACGGGAGAGTCAGTATATATATATATATATATATATATATATATATATATATATATATATATATATGTGTGTGTGTGTGTGTGTCTGTGCGTGTATATGTGAGTGCACATGTGTGTGGGTGCGCTTGTATGTGCGTGTATGTGTGTGTGCGTGTGTGTGTGCACGCTCGTCTGTGTGCGTCTATTAGGCATTTTTAAAGAAATTTTCTATTTTTAATTTTTGCATTGTTTGTTTGAAAACAAACAATTCCATATTTTATTCTGTGATGATTTCATAAAAGCGAATCCCCTTAAGTTCATAAATCGTTTCCTATATATATATATATATATGTGTGTGTGTGTGTGTGTGTGTGTGTGTGTGTGTGTGTGTGTGTGTGTGTGTGTGTGTGTGTGTAAAAGGCTCAAACAGTAATATTCCATGGTTATAACTTATTACACTTGAATCGTAATCACGATCCAATTCATTAAGACCTAAAAATTCAAATAGCTTTTGAATTTGTAGGTCTGATTAATTGATCCTGATTACGATTCCAATAAAAAATTATAACCATGGAATATAGTGTTTGAGCCTTTTTTTCTTGGATTAATATATATATATATATATATTAACCACTAATATTATCAATATATATATATATATATATATATATATATATATATATATATATATTAACCACTAATATTATCAATATATATATATATATATATATATATATATATATATATATATATATATATATATATTGGTGGTCCGAAAGTCTTGTCACCTCTAATTCTTGGGTGATCGTAACGCAGATGCCTCCGGCTCTGCACCTTTGTTCCTTTGCGTTGAGTATCGTCCTGTCCCCGGTTTGTCCTTAACTGATCCTGTGTTATGTTCCCATCGTACTATCGTCCGCTTCCGAGGAACTGGTTTGCCGAATCTTGCAGCGAAGTCATCATCTGTCCATACACTTGCAGGCAGACTCTCTTTCAAACTGCAGGAAGCTCCCATCGAAACATCTGAAATAGAAAATTATATGAGGTACGGGTGACAAAACTTTCGGACCATCCCTTAGAGCGAAAGAGAGAGATAGAGCGAGCGAGAGAGAGAGAGAGAGAGAGAGAGAGAGATGGGCTATATGAATATACTGCTTGTGAAAGTGTGTTCGCCTATTTATAGCGTTGTAATGTGCCAGGTCGTTAAATGCCTGCAAATATACGCGCACTTAAAGCCATGACATGTAAGAAAATGATGGGTCATATATTTGCAACGAGACGTTATTCAATTTTTATTTATTTTTATTATTCTACCGTAGATGTGTACATATGTGCGCTTTTTGGATAAGTAACAGAGAAGAAAGAAAAAGAAAAAGCGTAGGAACAAAAGAACCTGAAAAGAAAGAAGGTAGAAGCCGTGTATTTTGTAGAGAGTTGCACACACTTTGTATGACTATGCGTAGGGCGTTGGCTATAATCGAGCTTTTTTATTCCCTCTCTACAGTTTCATTTAAATGGTGATATGGGTAATAACTGCGCCAGTATAAGCCTGTTCCTGTTACATCTTAATCTTTGAAGGACGTTGATAGTCTGCGCAGCCATATGGGTATTACATAATACACACGCACGTACATATATATATATATATACACACACACACACACATATATATATATATATATATATTTTCTGTTTATACGTTTTTGTTTTTTGTTTTTATAGATATAATTTATTTAAGTAAATGCTCTGTTTTTAATTAAATATTATCAATTACATTTACCGGCCTGAATGTTCGAGACATTTCGTAGAAAATAGGTGATCTTCTGACAGGAATCGAACCCGTAACCCTCATGAAAACAGTCATATAGCCTGACGAGTTGTTTCAATTCAGACACAGAGAAGCGTCTGGTGAGAATATGACGGTCCTCTTAAGGTTCGATTCCTGTCGGAGAATGCATATTTTCTACGAAATTTCTCGAACGTTCAAGCCGGTAAATGTAATTAAAATGTTTAATTAAAAAAAATGACTGTTTAATTAAAAACGGAGAATTTACTTAAATAAATTATATCTATAATAATATAACTATATCGATAATAATATCAAGTCCGTTTTGATTTTTCAGAGACAACAAACATCAATGTTTTAACTATCAACGTCCTGAGGGGATAATTCCTTTTTCACGAGTCTTCTAACATTAAATGTCTTTATATGAAATTGGAAGCATTTACAAAATTTTAAATAAGTATTTGCAAAATTTCGAGGGTGACCAACCAGAGCAGTTATTACCTTCTCAGTCCCACTAACAAAAACAGATTGAAATAGTTTCCAGAAACAAAACAAAAAAAAAAATGCTGGTTTAACATTGGCATTCAAAATATATTAATCGCTTTCTTCAGCGTTTGTAAATTAGAAAGAGCTTTTTGAATCCGTCTGTGCGGATGTGCGTTCGTGCGCGTGCGCCCGTCTGTGCGGATGTGCGTTCGTGCGCGTGTGCCCGTCTGTGCGTGCGTTTTGGGTGCCGTAATCCTTAGTACTTTCCTCTGTTGTTTTTTTTTTTTTCACTCTACACTCGCTCTGAGATTTTCTCTTTTTACCTTTTCCTCTTTATATATATATATATATATATATATATATATATATATATATATATATATAATTTTCGTTTCCCAGCTGCATTGTATTGTAGTCGGTTACGCTTGAAGCACGCCAGGAAAACGCAGGCCTATGCCCACTGTGACGACACACTCTTATATTTATTCAATCGGCACGCATAGACAAATTAATCTATCTCTATCGATCTCGGATTTAATTTGTCGACCTGTTGGCCCATCTGACAGCGAGACGCTATTGGAATCAACATTAAACTCAACCGGCTTTTATTGACAGGAACCCATTTTCAAAAGACTTCTCGTATCTTTTACTTATTAATTCTGTTGCAAGTCCCAGATTGCGTTCTCTACCTACATTTATTTTATTTTTGATTTCATTCGACTGAAACCTGCAGGATAAAAAAAAAATACTATTCACGTCGCTAACGCTTTCCGTTTGGAACAATCAAGTGATTTTTCAAATGAACGCTCCTACTGTGCATTTAGCCGTATTTGTAACATATTTGCAATTTAAGTGACTCTGCTCATCTCATTTGACACAACTCTACTCGATATTGGCCCGTCTTAACTTTGTATGGCGCAAGGATGATCAAAATAAAAGTAAGTTATTTGCGTTACGTCCGTTTTCCAATGGGAGAGGAAATGCTTGCTTTGAAAATCAGCATTCTAATCTTTGTTCTTCACCACAACTCGAACCCTAACCTCTAGTATCGAGAGGAAAAGCACAAGTCTCTTAACCACGATACAAAATACGGGGAATTTTTGGCTGGATACCCCACATTAAATTCGGCCTTGTGCCACATCTGAGCGCGTGAGGCGGTTGGTAGATATCCTGCAGTTGAAAACTTATTGTGGAATTCACTTGACTCACTTCTAGAAGTTGACTACTACTTCGACGCGCCGCTGGCGAATCTTATATGTGTTGTTCTTGTCCTAAGTATTATCGTTCATTACCAACCTTCGTGTGGTTATTCTATTCAGTAAACTTCCCTAGATTACAACAGTAATGGTCAGAGCAGTACCTACATGTGAGTCTGTTCCATAAAATCGCAGTTCTTCGTAGGGGGAGGTGTCAAGGATGTGGAACTTCCTTCTTACATTTAGAACACAAGGAAAATAACGGTGATTCAACTTCGTGGAAGTAGCAACGATTGAATGAGACGATCCTTATACCAGCCAACCATATAGGCTCAGCCTTTATATATCTACAGATCTTCGAGGGTTAACAAACACTCCTCACAAGTATTGTTCGAGTCTTTACACATCCTGGCCTTGTATCAGAGTAAGCTAATTTGACCCATCTTCTTCTTTGACTTATATCTATCCACTACTGCCCTTAATATGTAATCTTCAAGGCCATTCTTTCAAAATCTGGGCCTTGTGCCAGACTAAGCTAATTTCTGCAAACATCTTCTTTGACCTATATCTATCCACTACTGCGTTTAACGTGTAATCTTCAAGGTCATTCCTTCAAAATTAGACCCTTCACTGAACTCTGATTGAGTTGACCTTTGCGTATAACATAATGTAGGTGATTCTGATGTGCAAATTTTTCGAATGGGGTCTGCTTTTGCGTTCACCCCGGCCCACGTTTAAAATAGTTGAGATAGCATAAATATCTCCTCATCTCCCATCTGTATACAACACGTGTTAACATCGTGGATAGGACATTAGGAATCGGATCCGCCGACACGGCTTCGATCCTTGCTCAACAAGTAAGACACCATGAACTAATCCGCTTTACTTTGATATTACGGTCTATGGAAACTGGGGACTTATGCGTATGTAAATTACCCGGGCAGTCACCAACCATCTTTTTCTAACTTGCGTGTTCTTTCAGGACGTGGGTGATTATGGTTCTCCACAACCTCCTATCCTATAAAACCCTTAGCAATATTCCTCAATTCATTCACACTCGTCAGGTAGGTGTCTCACTGCCTTCCTCTGTCTCCTTGCCTTTGATATGTTATGTTAGTGTCAAATTGTTCAAATTGTTCTTCTATGTGCCATGTCCCTTCAGGACGTTAGTGACTGTGGCACGCCACGACTTCCTATCATTTTTAGCTCTTAACTATCCCTTTGCCAAGCCTCTCACTCCGCATTCTGCCATCCATTCAGAAAACTCGTCAGATAGGTGGCCCGCTGCCTTAAACTGCCCCCTTTTTCTTTTATATATCCTCTGACTGTTAAATTTTCCAAGCCTTCTTTCCTCATTATATGTCCAAGAAATTTCAATTGTCTCTTTCTGATTGAAAGTATCCTAGTTGTTACGAGATTCCAATTGTATTCTTATCCTATGTGCTGTATCCCTTCAGGATTGTGGCCCTCCACAACTTCCTATCATTTGTAGCTCTTAACAATGTTTATCGCTTTGCCAAGCCTCTCACCTCGCATTCCGCCGTCCATTCAGACAAGCTCATCAGGTAGGTGGCCCGCTACCTTAACCTGTCCCCTTTTACTTTTATATGTCCCGTGAGTATCAAATTCTCCAAGCCCTCTTTCCTCATTATTTATCGAAGAAATTTCAGCTGTCTCTTTTTAAGATTCTGAGTATAAGAATTCTTTTTGGTAAGAAGTGTCCTTAAGTGTTTTTCGTTGCTTGCACGCTTCGTCCATGGAATTCTCAGCATCCTTCTGTAAAATCAATTTCTGATGGCAACAGTCTTCTCGTCATCTGTGGTGATTCCCGGCTATACAAGAGAATTGGTATTAGATAGCAGTTCAACAGTCTTGTAATGGATTCTAACGAAGTTATCCTGTTTCTTAATACTTTGCGTAGCTTATGTGATTCATCTTTCTCTAATTCAATGTGTTTAAGTGTCGCAGAGACAATAAAAATTTGTTTTGGAATAACGTCTATACGGTCAGCTCATGGTAAATTTTCTAATTCTTCACTGTAAGTGAAGTTTGGATGAGAATCCGACGAAATAGTAAATACAGCCTAGCACAGATAAATCCGGGGAAAATAATTGTTAATAAAAACGTTTTTCTATACAACAAATTATTATATTTCAATGACCGATGAATGGCTGACCGTAAATAATTTACTTATCTTGGTTGACTTGACACAATGTTTCGGCCACTGTATGTTTCGGATGTCGCACCATCGTGTCACCGTGTTTCACCACTTACGTATCACAATATTCTCAATTCTAAGCCTCAATACATAGTTTTATATAAAGACGTTTATTTCCCTAAGAATACATTATTATGAATTTGGCAGCAGCTGTCATACGTGATTTGTCATGAAAGCGTTGAGAAATTGAAATGCCATTACTGAATAAATGTCCCTGGCCGTTGATTTATGCTTACAGTTGCCGCGACCGAATTGACGTCTATCCAGACATACTTTTCTACAAATGTCGATACTGACAAGTATCACTTCCCATTTCGCAAATCAAATTTATATATATATATATATATAGGCGCAAAAACCATTGTCAAATGGTTTATGTCCATATCACGTTGAAACTCCGGTTCCCGTAAGATCACTGAAGTTAAGCAACGTCAAGCCTGGTCAGTAACTAGAAGGGTGACCGTGAAGTGTTGTAAGCTTGGATGTGCGGGTGGTGTAATGGATAATGGCTCAGAATTGTTAATCGAAGAGCCGTGTTCCAAATAGAGAAACGCTGCTCAGGGTTGTATTAGATTGTGGACAGCCATGAACGCCCACGTGTTGAAGGGACCCAGTACATATAAAAAGAAGAAAAAGAAAGAGATGGCTTAAAAAAATGGAAGAAAAAGAATAAACTGGTACAAAAGAAGGTTATTTATTTTCGTGGTAATTTTGAGACATTTACCAAATATTCGGCGAGACATGGAAGACTCTTCATAGCTACGTTTCCGATGTTATAGTCTTTTCTCTGATTTAGTCTTTTCTTGCTAACCGTTTTATTTTAGATTTTATTTACTTTTTCTCTTGGACGGAAAATAAACAACCTTGCCTTCTCTGTTTTCCTGATTTCACCTGTTTTGTTACATCCACCTTCTGGGTCTTTCTTTTAAAAAATCGCGACTTAGAGAAATTTCTTTTCAATATATCGAATTCGCCGAATCACAAAAGATTTATATCATCCAACTTTCGTTTGCCTAGCTGTCAATATATATATATATATATATATATATATATATATATATATATATATATATATATATATATATATATATATATGGCGTATCATGCTACTTTTGAAGAACTAATTTGGAAGCTAATTTTAAGGAGGTCGCATCATACACGAGATATAAAATTAGCGTATGTACTGCTGGCCCTGGCTATGCCTTCAACCAAACTATATATCCATTTACTGTAGTCAAAAAGTACAGCTCTATTTAAAATAAACATAATTTTAATAAAACTGATGTTTTACTTAATTGTATCCAATAATAATGCATGCAATATTCACATATTAGTATCGTGTACAAACATAATAAAAAAAAATACAAACATATCGAATATGCATCTTTTCTATTGTTTACATTTATAAGATGGTTAGCATTTTTTCGTTCGGTTGTTTATGGCTGTACGCGTTTACGCAACAAGTATAGCGTTACTAACGATTCTTTTATCATTCTCTTTTACTTGTTTAACTTATTTAACTAGAAAATGGGATAAAGAGATAAAGGAAAAGAGGTTAATCTATTGTAATTTAGTCTCTCAAAAAAGGAACTCGCATGATACACGAGATACATGATAAAATCATTTTTTATAAGTGAAAATTTGGGGGTCGCACGATACGCGAGATCGCGCGTTATATATATATATATATATATATATATGTGTGTGTGTGTGTGTGTGTGTGTGTGTGTGTGTGTGTGTGTGTGTGTGTGTGTGTGTGTGTGTAAAAATATATAGAAAATAGGAAAGAACTCGTTAGGTAAATAATCCAAAGTTCTTTAGTATTTATTTAGAGAGAGCAGTGTTGTTTATGTATTTTATATTACCTAAAGTCATTTGATGATGGTAGAAACAGAAATTTACAAGGATTTTCAATGGAAGCAATATATATATATATATATATATATATATATATATATATATATATATTATTTCATTGAATACGACAGACAAGGTGCTTTTATTTAGTTTTTTATACAATTTCTCATGCGATCTAATAATCTTTTTTTCTTTTTGGATAATAAACTATATGAAAATTGTTCGACTAATCTTTTTATCCGAGCGCTTTCGGCTCGGCTATGCATTTAATCATTGTCAAGGATCAAAACATGTTCAAGATAGTGTGTCCATGTTCAAAGTTAATATTATTAAGTGTTGTTTTTTTTGTTTTGTTTTTATTAATAAGGCTTCCAATATTTCTAGTCTTTTTTTGCATGTAGATGATGCTGTTATATTAGTGTTGTCAACAAGTATGTTACGAATAGTGTCCGGTAGGTCTCCATGAATATTTAAATGAGATCTAATTGAACTGTGGTCTGTCTGCGTGAAATAGACAGAATACCTTGACCGTGTTTGGAAAAATTAAAACATTTTATAAAACATACAATAAACTATTTCTTATTTAACAGTTAAAATATTTCATCGTTGAAAATGGTTAAATGTATAGCCAAAAGCGCTCGGATAAAAAGATCATCCCGGCAGTTTTTACATAATTTATCATCTGAAAAGAAAAAATTATTAGATCGCATGAGAAATTGTATAAAAAACTAACTTAAAGCACATTGTCCGTCGTATTCAATGAAATGTGCATGAAATAAGGATTGCTGCCTAAATACACACACATATATATATATATATATATATATATATATATATATATATATATATATATATATATAAAGATCGTATTATGGTTTCACTTAGCATCATTTTACCTTAGAGACTTTCCATATTTAAAAAAAAACAGCTATAAATTTACATTTAGCAGAGGGAGGTTCACTATTGCTGACCTTGAGGAAAAATAACAGAAAAAAAATGAGATTTTACAATGAATAATAGTATATATATAATGTAATATTTTAGTTTTAAGGTTAACATACTTCCCCGTTTCCCCAGGATACGTTGGATTTGAAGTCATCAGTTTTGATTCCTGTGTCACACATAAAGCATAAGAGTTTCTGGGTCATAAAAATGCCTTATTATTGAAGAAAAATCCGTCTATAATAAAAACTGTCCTCGTTCGTGGCTTGAAAGCTATAGTAGCCTCCAGTAAGTATCAGATTTCCTCCTGCCATACTCTCTGGGCAAGACCAAGATCAGACGAGTATTGCTGCCAGGACGTAGCTGCCCAGTCCTCACTTCCCTGTCTTGATCTACGCGTCCTTGTGGGTGATTATTATTATTGTATCCCACCTTATATACACTTTCTTACTCTATCGCTATTTCTATGGTAAGTATTTTGGCAAGCTGTATTCATTGGTTCCACCAACCCTGACCTTTTTTAACTGGGACCCGCCATGCCACATGCACATGGATAAATCATCGCCATTCCTTCCGTATTCTATTAGTAAGGAGGAAGTTCCACGCGAACAGCTTCTTCCCAAGAACTGTTGCTTCGTGGAAAAGACTTCTAAGAGGATGTTTTCCCAATCACGACAATCTTGAATTCTTCAAGTCTAGTGTTAACCATTCTCTTTCGTGCATGGCACCATGAATTTCAGTTCTTGTCTTTCTTACGCTCTTACACCACCAAACAGTAACTGTCTAGCTTGAGTGGCTCTGGAGCCTTGTATGTTCACTTATGGGTGAACATTAGTATTTATAAAAAAATCACTGAAAATACCATTTTTCTTCCAATATCTTCTACCATTTTTCAAACAACGCTATAATTCCATTCTCCCAGAACTGTTATGTCTTTGACTGTCTTCCAGGAAACTGGAACATTCTTTCATTAAGAGAAATTGTGTCTAGAGATTATATACAATAGAAGAATTTCACTTGTCTTTTCTTACGCTCATGCACCGCCACACTGTAACTTTCTACCTTTAGTGGCTCTTGGGCTTTGTATTGAGTGAAAATTAGTTTTAAGAAAACTTGTTTGACGTTGATATCTCCAATTCCTTTGCTCGAATCTTTTTTCTCTTGTTGACAACCATCCATTCTGTCTTCTTAAATTTGATGCTTATTTCTTTCTTTTCGATTTCTTCTGCCAGATTATCTAGGCGAAAAAAGGACCACATGTAGTTCAAAAGAGACGAAACTATAGCGCTAATATTTACTAATATAAATAGATCATAAATAATTATTTACATTATTCGGACTATTGTCCTCGTATTTGTCGCCATATTTATCACAACGTTTTACGCTCCAGCCTTCTTTATCTACTGTGCCATATGTCCTTGAGGACACGTGGCACAGTGGATAAAGGCGTTGGTTAGATCCAGTGACAGGGCCCAAAAAATGTGAGTTCAATATCCGGTTAAGACAGTGGAGAACTTTCAAAGGGAAATTAACAGGAGATAACTGATAACTGGCATCCATTAAACATCCACTGTGCCATGTGTCCTGACATTCCAACCACCTGAAGACGGCCGGAGCGTATAACGGCCGAAACGTTGTGATAAAAATGCGACAAAGATGAGAACAATAATCCGAATAATGTAAATAATGTACATAATACCTCATCTCAGAAATATAGACAGATACTGAATCATAAATAATGAACAGAAATTCTCACATCTCAGGCATTTTTCAGAAAGAAGAGCTCTAGAATTCTATCCAGTAGTTTAACGCTCCGGCCTTGATAGAATTCAAAAGCGTCTCCGAGTCCTTGCGGGTGATAAATTATTCTCCACCCTCCAACCTCTCTCCAGATGGAGAGTGCTCGGACGAACTACATTCCCTGGTCCTGCCATCGCAAAACTTAATCGCAAGAGCACCCCATGCCATATACATAGTAGCAAACCGCCCACATTCCCTCCATATTCAAATGGTGAGGAGTAAGTTCCACTCGAGCAGCTTTTTCCCGCGAACCACTGCCCTGTGGAACCGACTCCCAAGAGGATGTTTTCCCGATCACTACGTTCTTAAACTATTCAAGGCTAGGGTTAACCATTATCTCCCACACCTATACACACAAATGGCCTCCTAACGTAACCCTCTACCTCGAGTGGTCTCCGGGCCTTGTAATGGGTGACCCTCACTGTAAAAAAACAAAAACAAAAAACTGTTTAATCATAAAAACAGACATTTAACCTTTTTTTTTTCACAGGTAATGCTTATACAGGATCTTAAGATGTAGAAATGTGTTTGTTTTTTGGGTTTTTTTTTTTTTTACGTGTGACATCTGTTGGCCGCTGCCTGGGATTCGTTTCTGCAAATTTAGCGAACAGGCTTCGTTCCTTCTCGTTACTCAAGGGTTTGTTGGAATCCCGACTGTGCGACATTTTCTTTCCTTAAATGTCGCCTTTGTTGTTAATGGGATAACACAAATAAAGGGCAAGGGTTGAACGGAAACGAGCGGAAATTATCGAAGTGGGCCGACAGGAGAATAAGGGAATCATGTCCAGTAAGCCGCGTACACATATAGAGATACACAAGTAGACACACAGCTACAACAGTACAAAAATACGCACAAAAATATACACAGGAGCGTATACATTCATGTACGACATTTCACACACATACGTACATAGATAGATAGATAGATAGATAGATAGATAGATAGATAGATAGATATGAACAGACTAAAATAGATAGCAATGAACAGAGTAAAATAGATAGATGAACAGACTAAAAGAGATCGATAGTTATGAACAGACAAAATGAGATAGATAGATAGATAGATAGATATGAACAGACTGAAATAGATAAAGAGAGGAGATGACAGACTGAGATAGATATGTTCTAATTTAAATAACCAAAATGAACAGAATTATATATATATATATATATATATATATATAGATAGATAGATAGATAGATAGATAGATAGATAGATAGATAGATAGATTTAAATAGACCTAGATTAATAGAATGAGGTATATATGGTTTCCAAACTGCACAAGATGATTTTATACATTACTTTCATAGAATATGCACAGCCCTTAACACAATGGGGGTGCTGATAATTACAAATTCACTTCCCAAAATCGTTGAAATGAGTTTGCCGAAAATTTGTAGTACTCTCTCTCTCTTTCTCCGACACACACAAACACACACACACACATATATATATATATATATATATATATATATATATATATATATATATATATACACGTTTCAATAAAACGACCGGAATTACAGAATATTTAGACACTTTCTACACTAAGTTTGAAAGAAGTAATGCCTCTCTTATTTATTAATCAGACAGATTTTATCCCTTTAAACGACATTTTGAGTGGATACTCATATTTGAGTAGATGCTCCGTTTATTTATTAAACTGTATAATTATTTACTTTCGTCTACGGACCTGAATATTCGAGTATTCTTATTAAAGAAAAGATACGCCCTCCGGTATCTTTTCGTTAATAAGTTTCCTCGAATATTTAGGTCGGTAGTCGAAAATAAATATATTATTTGATAAAATGATTGATTTGAAACATCCAATGTATTTAAAATGGAATATGCGAAAATCAGTTGGATTTTTCATTTTTTTTTTTATATACTGCTGCCAACATTTATTCATTAAGGACATCATAAGAACTGAAAAATATTAAGGAAAGATCGTTACCATAGTAACTTCTTTACTTAGAAACGCTGCGGTTAATTTGAAGACACCTAAGTCAAAAATTATTCGTACTCTTGTCTAAAAGTATATTATGGCGAAATGTGTGTGTGCATATATATATATATATATATATATATATATATATATATATATATAGTCATCAACCACAGACAGACTGTTCCACAGCTCATCAGTGTGGTTAGATACCGATCGCTTCAGGCCGAGACAGAAAGCCGATCGAATTGGTATCAGTCGGAGATGTAACTCCTAGGCCATCGACGCTCGGCAGAGAGAAAGGCGATATATATATATATATATATATATATATATATATATATATATATATATATATATATATATATATATATATATATATATATATATGTTAAAAATGGACAAAGTCCGACAATTTATTTCTTAAAGACATTTTTATGTTTAACGTTCTTTTTTATAGATACAAGTATTTAAGTAAATGCTCTGTTTATAATAAACAGTATTAAATAACATTTACCGGCCTGAATGTCCGAGAAATTTTCATAGAAAATATTCGTCCTTTGACAGGATTCGAACCTTATGTCTTATTAAAGACATTGAAGTTTATAAGCAGTAAAATTCGACCTTGCCTACCGAACGCTCCTTTGTGGCCGAGATGGTTAAGGCACGTCAGCGTAAATGACGGTTCCGTATAGGATGCAGGTTCCCAAGAATATTTGCGTGTAAATGAATATAAGGAAGCCGACGAAATTCTGATTAATGAAAATGCATTTACCGACAGACTTTTGATGATTTATTTTAAAAGACGTTTCTTTCCACGTTTGTAAAAAAAAAGAAAGAAAAATGTTATTTCCTCTCAAACATGTGCATCCACTAAACTAGCGTTTATAGTAATAAGAAATAATGCTGGATTAAAAATCCATCAACTACTTATATATATATATATATATATATATATATATATATATATATATATATATATATATATATATATATATATATATATATCAACAAATAAAACAATAATAAACAGCTTAGTTACACACGACTCCAGTTTCTCCTTTTGGTTATTAGACTAAGCAATATAAATCGTAAATTCTTCTTAAATATAACGGTTGTAGTAACGAATCTCTAGTGGTAAATTTGACTCTCGTTACTTTTCCTACATAAATTTATAATGTTTAGGCTTGTTAGTACAACCGTGGTGTAATGGATAGCGGCTCGGATTGAGGAATCGGAGAGTCGAGTTCGAATTTCAGTCAGAATTCACTTACGTGCTAATACCCTTGAGAAACATATGAATCCTCTTCTTTCCCCTATACTTGGTTAAATAGCAGGGCAGGCTGGTTTCTATAGCCTTGGGTGGTAACTGTTCTAGGAGAAGGAAAACTCTGAATTCAAAACCTGGAGGTGAAACTTGATGGGGAGATAGAGGTTCTGGAGCCTTGAAAGGCAACCTATCTAGGAGAAGGTCACTCAGCAATATAACCTGCATCCTTGCACGTCGATTATCTCGTAGCCCCCATTTATTTAGGCAGCAAGAATGTATCCAAGCAAGTATTGTTAAATTCAACCGACAAGGTTCATTTATTTTTTTCATATTTTTCTATTTTCCGAATAAGATGTTCTATATCAGGGCACTTATAGCCACTATATTTTATGGCAGTGTTATAAAATTTACTATGCTTGTAAAAGGCATCTTCACTGGAAGAGCTATTGCTAATCCTATATTCTATGGAGGAGGGTATGTGTTTGATTATGGATAGAGGGTGGTTAGAATTTGGGTGGATATATGTTGGATTGGCGTTTGTTTTCATGTAGGGTTGGAATACATTATTAATACGAACAGTGGAATTTTACTCCATCTGTTCTTTCACTCATTGTATATATATATATATATATATATATATATATATATATATATATATATATATATATATATATGCAGTTGCCTCTTTACTTAAACAGCTGAATATTCATCATATATATCTCAACGCATAAATACGCATATCTTGACAATGATTCCATGTATACAACTGTGTATATTAAGAGGCGTTGTTTTTATTTTTTCATGCGAAAAATGGTAATTACTTCATATCAAGAATTTGGAAGTGGACTGATGTTTTTACTTAATCAGATCATATCCCTTTTCTTTTTGCAATGCCTGCAGAATTGTTTTAAATTGTTTTTTGGTTTTTTGGTTTTTTGGTTTTTTTTCATCGAAGCCATTCTTCCACTTAAAAGCAAACGCTTTTCCCGATACCCCATATACGCATGCGCAGGTTTTGTTTCCTCCCTGAAAAAAAAATAACAGCCGAATTTCGGGCTCGCGTAAAGATCATCACTCCGTAAAAACGTTATTAGCGAACCGAGTTCGAATTTTGGTTAAATCTCTATATCATAAAATTCATAAATATATCTAAGCAAAGAAGAAAAGAAAATTTCAACATCGCTTACTCACTTTAATTTACTAGGCATTAAATTATATCACTTAGCATATATATATATATATATATATATATATATATATATATATATATATATATATATATATATATATAATTTTTTTACATACGGACAAAAACAACTTACTACAAAGATGCCTTCTTGTTTCGATGCGGCTCGACTTGTGAGAATCAAAAATGGTTATCTTTATATTTTGATTCTCACCAGTCGAGATGCAGCCGCATCGAAACAAGAATGCATCTTTGTAGTGAGCAAGTTTTTTTTGTCCGAATGTAAAAATTATAATATATATATATAATAAATAATTATTGCACTACTCTTGGTATTAAGCGCTCTTTCGAATTAATGCGGTGAACGTAAGAATTTATATTATTTTCGTTCTCATTACATTCGAATATATATATATACATATATATATGCGAAAAGTGTGTGTATATAAATATAAACATATATATATATATATATATATATATATATATATATATTATACTTATTAGAAAGCGCTCAATATCAGAGATAGAGCTAACATATTTGGTTGGATTGATGTGAGTTTGTAACTCTGGGTTTCACGCTTTTGCGATCGTCAGACGTGAAACCCAGGGCCACAAACTTACATCAATCCAACCAAATATATATATATATATGTGTGTGTGTGTGTGTGTGTGTGTGTGTGTGTGTGTGCGTATTACACATATGAGGCACGGAGTAATAGACAGCGCTTCGAATACCAGTCGGATCCATTACATTCACTTACGTGCTAATATCCTTGGGAAAGTTATGAATCTTCTTTTTCTCGCCACTTCTATTGCCTTGAGTGGCTAGGGAAAGGTAACTCTGAATTGAAAACCGCCCTGGAGAGGGTTGGGCTCCGTCAGGCAATCTTGCTCACGAAACACCACTTTTACTACGGCTGTGGTGCATGTAGTGATTGATGGGCCACGGGATTCGGGATCTTTAACTGAAAGTTAACAATCTTTTTTTAAATTATTGTTCTCCCAATCTAAGATCCAAGAGCCACTTAATTACTGCATGGGGTTGTTGTAAGGACGTAAAAAGAGCGGGTAGGAACTACATATTATGATGATATTTTTTTTAATCATCTCAATCCAATCAAGGATATAAAGCCACTAAGATGCAAGGAATTACGGAATGTGAAAGAATAAGAAAAAAGCGAAACATTATAAAGTAGCGGGAACAATAAAAACAGACGAATCAAGAAGACAGAAGATAACCTATTATATTACATTTAAATTTTTGACGATGAAAGTTGACTGGAAAGTAAGAATCCGAAGGTGACAAAAAAAATATAATAGAAGTGGAATCAAAAAGACTCGTGGCCACATTTGCAATGTCAACTAACACTTGCTGCCACTTTTGTGATGTCAATGAACACTTGCTGCCACTTTTGTATTGTCAACGAACACTCGTGACCAACTTTTGTAATGTGAACGAACACTCGTGGCTACTTTTGTAATGTCAACGAACACTCGTGACAATTTTTATATTGTCAACGTACACTCGTGGCTACTTTTATAATGTCAACCAACCCTCGTTACCACTTTTGTGATGCCAACAAACACTCTTGGCCACTTACGTAATGTCAACCAACACTCGTTGTCACTTTTGTAATGTCAACGAACAGTCAGTCGTAGCCATTTTTGTACGCTCCGGTCATCTTCAGGGGATTTTTGTTGGAATATCGAACCGAGCCATTTATTTAGTCCACGGCGGTACATTGTATTATTTGTAATATTTCTATCTGTTTTAGATATAAAAGTTAATATTCTTTCATGTGTGTAGATTAAAGGATTAATATTCTTTCTTGTTTGTACATTAAAACGCCAATAGTTCTTCTTGTCGCTGGGTTAAACTAACGCAGATAGTTTAACCCAGAGACATCATATCAAATTCTTGATATGATTTAATTATCATTTTGGCGGGAAGATTAAGAACACCACTTCTTAATATACGCGGTTTTCTATATGGGATCATTGTCAAGTTATGCCTATTTGCGTTTGGATATATGTAATGAATTATGTTGTTCTTATTTCTTTAGCCTCTAACCTCCGCTCTCATATCTTTGTGTACATCAAGTTTCTAATATGTAAACCTGACATTTCCTCATATTCTGTTATATGTTTTTTCACCAATCAAATTGGAGGAAATGCTTGCTTCTGTTTATTTTATATTTTTTGTTCGCTTCCTTTCTTCCAGTTCCTGTTTTCAATGAGTTTTTATCTTAACGTTTTTTTTTTCTTTTTTTAAATTAATATCTATAGATATTTTCTTTTCTTTTTTTCTATTCTAATTTATTTCTATAAAGTATCAAATTTGTTGTACTTCAAAATTTCTTCAACTCTACTTATGGCCCATATTAAACCATTACTTTTAGAAAACAACAAATCTATTCAATAAAACAGTATTTTTGTTCACTGTCATTATATATAAAATCATTTAATTTGCCTTCCCTTTTAAAAGCTCTTTCCACCATGAATTTCCAAAGGAATGCTTGAGTTTAACAAGAGTGTAGCTGGAAGCAAACGCACTTATATCATTCTAAAAGAAAAATGGTAGGAACTTTGAACAATATATTAAAATAATAAAATGATGCCTTTGCTATTATTTTTGTTCTTTTTTTCTTCTAGATCCTATTTATGATTTCTTACGAATTCTTGACAAGTCAAGGTCGCTCATTTGAAACAAAAACTAACTTAAATTGACCCTCTTACGATTATAAAACCGCTTGCTGTACGACGAAGAGCTGGTAACTTATAGGCCTGAACCATTTCTGCATAATCTTAAATCCTATATTCACGTAAGATTTTGAAACGCTAATCAGGTTATCGTTATGGATTAAATAACAGGGTAGACTTAACCCTCTAACAATGGTTGGCAACTAGTCAAGGGAACAGATAACTCTTAATTCCAAACCGTATGAAAATCATAATATACAACCAGAGAAATGGTTATGAAATTCATAATGAATTGTAGGTGTTGGGTTGCGAAGTTAATGATTGCGACGATAGCGTAGGTAGGCATCAAAAGACTCAATGCAATAATAAAGAGCCTCTCTTGTTAGGTGCAATGATTAAAAAACATTTCTCTTTCAGGCAACTATTAATTAGGATTAGAAATAATTCTGGGCAAAGTTTTTTTTAAGAACAACATAAATTTTATTCGCATCAGTTATCTTCGTAGAATCAAGATTTTGGACATGTCTGGAAATAGTGTTGTCAAAAGAAACATGAAATTTTTATTCAGAAATTTAAAAAGGTATAAAAACCACTTTGTGGAACAGGTTTCCGCGTTGGAACTGCCCTAGGAATAGATCACCCGGTTCACACTCCTCGCTGGTCTTTTCAATGGGAGTAGAGGTTTATCCCTTGTTGCCGGTTTAGGATAGGGTTTCTGCTTCCTTCTAAAGTCTACTTCAACTGTATAATTCTAACGTGTCCATCTGAACTTCTATTTACTAATTATTTTTTCCATTTTCTCAATTGGAGTAAATAGCTTGGCCTATCGTCCAATTTCCACGCCTCCCCGCTCATTTGAACAGGAGTAGGGGTTTATCCCTTGTTTCCGGTTTAGGGTTGGATTTCTGGTTCCTGGTTCCTTCTAAAGTCTACTTCAACTCTATAATTCTAACGTTTCCGTCGGGATTTTTATCTACTAATTATTTTTTCTTTACCCTTAATTGAAATAGATAGTTTCGCCTATCGCCCGGTTCACACTCCTCCTCAGCCTTCTGAACAGGAGTAGAAATTTATCCCTTGTTTCCGGTTTAGGTTTAGATTTCCGGTCCCTTGTAACGTCTACTTCAACTGTATACTTATAACGTCACCTCCTAAAACTGTGTTTTTTTTTCACTTCTGGTGATCTCTTGCGTCTTACTGGCATTTTCACCTTGCTTAGGGCGGTGCCTCTTCCTCACTAACCCTCTACTTCCAGTGGCTCTTGAGCCTTTTACAGTGGTAACATCATTATAAAAAAAGATTCTTCAACAATTTCTTCTAATGAATAAATAGTGATTAATATTTATGTTGTAAATTCTCAAGAACAAAAACAATGTTTAATTTTACTTCCATTGTATGTTTTAGTTTTATTAGAATTCTAATCGTCGCTTTTTAAAACAATAATCACTGCCTAAAAATGGAGGTAAACAAAATAATAGCGGTGTCAAAGGAAAATAAATGTCATTTTGACGCTCCGTATTTTTCGTGTACTAAGGTCCAAGTTTGACAATTTTATTTTTTAAAGTAACTTTGGTATACTGGAATATATTGCTTGCAG